CATGCTCTCTACGTCAAAGTCAAAGATGGAGATATTCTAATTGTGTGCTTATATGTGGATGATCTAATCTTCACCGGAAGTAATCCAAGCATGTATGAAGAGTTCACGAAAGTGATGACTAAAGAATTCGAGATTACCAACATCAGGCTGATGGCATACTACCTAGGCATTGAAGTCAAGCAAAACGAAGAAGGAATTTTCATCTCCCAAGAAAGCTACACAAATGAGGTACTAAAAGTTCAAAATGGACGACTGTAAGCCCATAAGCACACCAGTGCGAAGTCAAACTAACCAAGCATGACAAAGGAGAAAGCGTAAATCCAACATTTTTCAAAAGTCTAGTTGGAAGCTTGCACTACTTGACTTGCACAAGACCAGATATTCTCTATGCCGTCGAATTAGTCAGTCGCTACATGGAGAATCCCACAACTACACATTTGAAGACCGCAAAAAAAATTCTTCGATATCTTTACGGTACTGTTAACTTTAGCTTGTTCTATTCAAGTTTTGATAACTACAAACTTGCTGAATATAGCGACAGTGATTGGGCAGGAGATTCAGATGATAGAAAAAGCACTACTGGATTTGTGTTCTTCATGGGAAACATTGCATTCACATGGATGTCAAAGAAACAACTGATTATCACACTCTCTACCTGCGAAGCTGAATACGTAGTTGCTACCTCATGTGTCTATCACGCAATCTGGCTGAAAAACTTGCTGAAAGAATTAAGCATGCCACAAGAAGAGCCAAAAGAGATTTATGTCGACAACAAGTCTGCAATAGCTCTAGCAAATAATCTAGTATTTCATGACAGGAGCAAACACATGGATACTCGCTATCATTACATAAGAGAATGTATTGCAAGAAAGGATGTGCAAGTGGAATACGTGAAGTCACAAGACCAAGTCGCCGACATATTCACCAAACCACTCAGGCAAGAAGACTTTGTTAGATTGAGGAACACAATCGGCGTCACAAGACAAGATTAAGGGGGGATGTTGAATTGTAATCTTGTCTTGACCCAAAGATAATGGATCCAGCCCATGCACAAACAAAGATCTACGCACATGCTAGAGAATTCTAGCAAAAGTTGGTGGAAGAGTCTAGAAGAATGGTGAGGATTCCACCAACATACAAGATTAGTGTAGACAATTCTAGCTTAGGAAGGTAGTGGAATTATCTAGATATCTCTAGCATGATGCTTCCATGCTTCTCCAAGGTTCCATCCATGCCTATAAAAGGAGAAGGCATCCACACCATTTGTAACAACCAAGAGAGCAAGTAGTGAGAAGTGAGAGTGACAAGTGAGAAGTGAGAAGAAGCAACAAAACTTCTAAGAGTGTTTGAGTGTTTCCTCTTATACTAAGTTTGTGAGTGAATAAAAATCTTGTGTAATACTTTGAGTATTCTTTCTTTCTCTTGCCTATCAATTCCACTGCATTACATTCTTCTTTGTGAGATAAACATCTCCAAAGTAGTGAAGTCTTTTTATGCCCCAACACATACTAATATCACAATGAGATTAGATAAAGAACAATATATATAGTATATATATAAAAGAATAGGCACCCTCTTCAGCTGAAAAGGGACTTTTGGTAATGGCTTGAAGTTTCATTAATCTCTTGTGGTTGTGAAGATTTTAATTTACGTCTTTTCCTTGGTATTCTGCATACTATTCCTCTGATTGTAGTTGATTCAAGGAGAGAGGTTGATGAAGTAAAAGAATTAATAATCATTGTAAAGGAGTATGTTCTGGGTTTGAAGATGGAGATTAAGAGGAGGGAACTTAAAGGCGATCCGGTTCGCCAACAGGAGCTAGCAGCTTACTTCACCCACCGTAACCTTCAGATCCCTCACTTGAGGCTAGCATTACTAAATGCCATGAGTGTTTGCTATAAGGCTGGTAATCTCAACACGGCAGCTAACTTTGCCAGGTGACTTTTGGAGACCAACCCCAGCGTTGAAAACCATGCAAAGACAGCAAGACAAATCCTGCAAGCTGCAGAATAGAACATGACTGATGCAACCCAGCTAAACTATGCCTTCAGAAACCCATTTGTGGTTTGAGGGGGAACATACGTGCCTATTTACTGTGGACAGAAGGATGTGTCATGCCCGTACTGCAGCTTTCGGTTTGTTCCGGACCATGAAGGGAAGATCTGTTCTGTTTGTGATCTTGCAGTGGTTGGATAAGATGATCTCCTGTTTCAACCTTCACATATGACAACGGTTATGTTTAACTCCCTCGTCTCCTTGAGCAATGTTTATCTTTTAAAGAACGCAATTTGATTAGGTTGTGCTTCTCTTGTATTTCTATTTCAAATTTTATTGCAAGGTTCGTGATCATGATTTTCGCTGTAATGAACAGGTTGAGCATTTTGGTCTCGGTGATTCTTGTGACTTCTGAGAATAAACAAATTAGATTGAGTTGTCCAAATTACTTGCTTTTCCTGAGACTTGTAGCTTTGAAATTCCATATATTATAGACACCATTTTCGTGTTAGAACTCGTTTGTGAATTCCACCGGAGAAATGTCAATCTGCCGGGGATTTTGAATATGTTGTGCTTGAAATGTATTTCATTTCTTGTGTGCCTGAGTAGCTTTCTGTTAATTATATTCGAAGATGTACACTATTGAGAAACGATGGATTATCGGCCATCACCCTGTCGCATTAACATTTCGATTTGCATGCCTTCGTACACACTAGTTGCACCAATGGTTATGCTAGTACTGGAACAACTATCACCTCTAGCATAAGCCATTGAAGGCGGCCCGAGCAAGTAATCAGTGTCCTCTGGACTGAAATCAGCAGTTCTCCGTGGATGCTTCGCCAGAGTCTGTATCCTTCTAGCTCCATTGCTACCTTTTTCATGCTAGGCCTTTCCTCCCTTTTCACCCTCAAGCATCTACTTGCAAGATTAGCCACTCTTTTCAGTGTCTCAAGATTTCTGTCGGTGACTATGTCGTCATCGAGAATTTGAGTCAAGCGACCCTGTTCCACGGAACAAACGAAGAAGTTTGCCGGGTTTCTCTCTTCTTCAGGCCTAGTAAATGACAGTGCCACTTTTCTTGTTAGCAGCTCCACAAGAACAACTCCGAAACTGTAGACGTCACTCTTTTCTGTCAGCTGGTTTGAATGGAAGTATTCAGGGTCCAAGTACCCTAGCGTCCCTTGCACTAGAGTTGTGATTTGAGCTTGATCTAGAGGAATCAATCGCGAAGCTCCGAAGTCCGACACTTTTGCTGTGTAATTTTCGTCTAATAATATATTTGTTGTTTTCACATCTCGGTGTATGATTGGCATGGAAGTGGAGGAGTGCAAGTACGCTAGTGCTCCGGCAGTTTCAGCTGCGATCTTCAGTCGTAACTCCCACGAAAGCGACGATTCTTTGCTCTTTACGTTATGAAGATGATAAAAAAGAGTTCCCCTGGTGATGAACTCGTAAACTAGTAAAGGCACTTGTGTCTCCAAACAGCAACCCAGTAGCTTCACCACATTTCTGTGGTTGACTTGAGAAAGAACAATAACTTCGTTTATAAACTGCTCACTTTGGATTGAAGCTCCGATTTTCGACTTTTTTATGGCAACCACTTCATTATCTGGTAGTATTCCTTTGTAAACTGTACCGTAGCCTCCTTCGCCGAGGACTCTACTGTCATCGTAGTAGCCTGTAGCCTTGTCAAGTTCTTCTGCTGTAAAGATTTTTGTTGTCTCCACCAATCCTCCTTGGCGACTCGCGGGTCGTTGTTGTAACAACATGCCACCATTCTCTTTGAAATACTTTTCTCTGAGTTTGATGTAGTTGTTTTTCTTCATTCCCCAGTAGGTCCATGAACCTCCCACCAGGAAAATCAAGGAGGCTACTGTCACAGCTGCAATTCACCACCAAATTAGACTTCAATTTATTACGATCTACATGATAATATAGCAATAGCATGCATTTAATCCGAATTTTTTTGTGCAGGACATCCGTTTATAGATTAAAGAATCAATACACATCCATATTGTGTTGCCTACGGTAATGGAATCGACATTTTATTGCTGACATAGTGACACAGTTTGATCGACGCCCGTTACATAGTCTACCAATGCAAATACTTACCCAATGAAATAATAAGCAAGCGAATGCTTTTGGAAAGATTGCTTCCATTGTCTTTGCTGCAACCAGTTCCAGTTCCAGTTTTCATTCCGTCGCCTTTGAACCCTTTTGGACAGACACAAGAATAATTTCCAGGTAAATTTATACACGCTCCTGCGCTGCAACGGTTTGAAATCTCACACTCGTCGATATCTGAAAAGAGTACAGATTACTCACTAACACATAATTAAGGCACATAGTTATAAATTAGGTGTATCTAAAAGATGATCAGTACCATGACAACCCTCTGGGGGGTACGGATTTCCTTCGTAACCTGGCAAGCACTGACAAAAGTAGCCGGACAGATTGACGGGGCTGACACAAGTGCTATTTCCCTTGCATGCATAGTCCTCCCTCTTTTGAGCTGCATCACATTCTTCATCCCCAATTGCCCAATTGAGAACCATCGGAAGCCGGCTTGTGTTTTCGAGCTCTTGGAAACTTCTATTAGAAAATGTGAACTGGCCTTCTTCCACAATGAAGGAATAGCTACATGGATTAAAGTCCCATATAAGCGTATGATTGGAGTAGCTACTCATCATCACGGTACGAACTTGAAGCCCACTTGGGATTGAAGTCTGGCAGCACCCAATGCCGGAGCAAGACTCACGAATGCTCCCTAAGCTCTCGCAGAAGGTCATGCAACCGGTTACGTACTTTTCGCTCCCACGCACTCCTTCAAAGATCGCGTAAGTGTCACAACCAACAGCAATGAACTTGTTTTTCGTGCCGGAAATCGTGTAAGGAGGGAAGAGCTTTAGCCTTGGGGTGTTGCTTTTTTTGGTATCTGATAAACCCCCTCGACGTAACAATCTCTTGCTACAAACTGCATTATTTGTAGCTCGCCGTCAAGGGATATGTTGGAGACCGGGATTGCAGTTCCTGTCAAAAATGCTGTGGGGGGTTGTGAGGTTTCGTTGCAAACGATGAGGAATTCATCACTGAGCTGGCAGCCATCGGATATCCCAAAAGGGTATGGGATTGACAAATTCCCGCATTTGTTTGGGCAGCCAGGCAAAGCTTGCGCTGCTGCTACCGCAGCTAAAAATACAAACAATCCCACGAAGGAGACCAGTTGGATAAGAATCCCAGGTACCATGGCAATCATGCCAACATCTCCCTTCTCGGGACTAATTTGTACGCTCTAATATTCCAGTCCGGGTTGAAGTTGTCTTAGCCGGCTCTAATTCTTGTCTGCAGGTTTACATTCCAAGCAAGGTGATGACAGATAAGGACCATATAGTCCTCTGATTATAAACCAAAAGAATGATGACAAATAATTATGTGACAAAGTCGAGACAAATAATAGACCAATAATCAGTAGGTTTCATTTATATAAGAGAGTTAAAAATGAAGAAACCAAACAGACGGGGAAAAGGAGTTTTTATTTCTACTTGGAATCTTCGGCATTGGATTATTGACAGTTAAATTCTTGGGTTCACATCCAACTCTCCATTGCTATATCTGAGCTTTGTAAAATTTTTGGATAAAAAACTCTTTACAAACATCTCGGAACTTCATTTCATAGTGTAAAAACACTTAAAAAGACATTTGAAGAATTTTTTTTTTGGTATCAAACTGTTATTGCGCAGCTTGCACTTGCCTATTATTCAAGGTTCTAAAAAACGCTAGGCGCTAGCGCCTAGCGCCTAGGCGGACGCCTAGGTGGTCAAGGCGGATTTAAGTATATGAGTAAAATTTTAGAACTTTTTATGTTAATTTTGTAACATTTAGTCATCCCATTTATTTTAATCATTTGTTGGGCCTTTGTTTTTCATTGAAAATGAACTGGGCCTTTGTTTTTCATTATAAACAAATTCGGCCATGTTTTAAAGGAATGCAATTCCTAGCCAAAAAAACCCTAGCTCTAATTTTCTAAAGCACAGCCGCCCCATTTCTCTACAGATACATCTACCTTTCTCTCTCTCTCTCTCTCTCTCCCCACCAAGCCAAGCCGTCCCTCTTCTTTCTTCTTTACCAAACCCTAACTCTAATTACCTAAGCAGCCGCCCCATTTCTCTGCAATTGCATATCCCTCCCTCCCTCCCTCCCTCCCTCCCCAGCCAAGCTGTCCCTATAGAAACCCGTCTTGTCCCTCTTCTTTCTTTCTTTGCAATTGTAGATCGAAACTCGTCCTGTCCCTCTTCTTTCTTTCTCTGCAATTATAGATCGAAACCCGTTGGGATGGTCGCCTAATCGTCCAACCTCATTACCACAGCGGAAGAACGACGTTATAATCAACTTACCATCAAAGCCGCCTAGCGGTTGCCGAGGCCGCCTAGCCCCCTTCATGAAAAATAATTAAAATATATATATATATATATATATATATATTAATTATATTCACATATAGGCCTTGTTTGGCACACCCTATAGAGCATCGGATATGACTAATTATACGAAGCCGGTTGTCAGTCTGCCTATTTAGTCGGGTATACACCTGCTTAATAAACCCTTCCAAAATGAATGGATTATTAGTCTGGCTCACTTCCCTCTCTCTCGCACTTCGTTTCCACGACATCTCCTCTCGCCGTCGTCCCTCTCGCTAACGTCGTTCTCCCCGTCGTCATTCTTGCCGGCACTGTCAACGCCTACGGCCTCCATGTCTTCCTCTGCTACAAGATCCCCGAGGTCTGGCCATCACGCGTCGAAGGCTCTGGGCTTCTTCTACAACTGGATCTTGCAAACAGTCGGGGAAGAAGAAGAAAGGAGAGAGAGGGAGGGAGTTTGGGGGGTGCGGCAGAGAGATCTGGGCAAGAAACTGTAAAGCTTGCAATCTGGGCTTTGCTTGAGGTTGTCGAGAGTGGAGGAAAACACATAGAAGTTGCTGTGATGACAAAGGATCATGGTCTGAAGCAACTTGAAGAAGCTGAAATTGATGCCATTGTTGTTGACATAGAAGCAGAGAAAGCATCTGCTATGGCCGCTAAGAATGGACCACCCAGGGAGACATGATAATACTTTATGGTTAAAACTAATCTCTACAGTTTATCTTAAAATAATAATACTTTAAATTCCTCCTATCCGGTATAGTACCAAACACAATATAAATAATACGGTCATTAGTCCGATACTGCACCAAACACCCGACTAATTTAGTCAGTACTATCCGGTGACTATTTATCCTATCTGACAGAAATAGTCAGTACAGTCCGAGTTGCCAAACAATGTAACAACCCGTCTCGGGATTTAATATACATAAATGGTATTTTTGTATTTTCATCAAGTTTGGGAGTTTATCTTCCTTTTAAAATTTGTTTTTGGTCTTAAATGGTGAGCGGACCCACCCCCCTGATTTTGTCCCCGAGCCCTCTTCTCTCTTTCTTCCTCTCCTTCTTCCTTTTCCCGTTTACTTCTATTCCTCTCTTACCTATGACCCTATTCCTCTCTTCTCTATGACCACACTCACACCCAGCTGCACTCCCTGCTCGAGGAAGACACAATCACCATCTAAACCTCGTTCCTTTCCTCTTCCTCTTGCCTCTGCGCAACTCGGCGAAACCAAGAAAATAACCTCCGGCGAGTCCGACGGCTTTCGAGGTCATTTCCGGCCAAACCACAGCGAGTTGGCCGGCGTGAAAGGTAGGGGTGGTTCGGTATGGGATCCCATACCGAAACTCTTGTCCCGATTCCCATACCGAAATTTTCGGGAATCCCAATTTCAATACCGATCCCAAACCAAATTTTCAGGAATCCCAATTTTCGGGAATCCTGAAATAATTTCGGGATTTCGGGACAAATCGGGAATCCCAAAATAATTTTGGGCTTTTGGACAAAAAAAGCTAATATTGGTCCAATTGGACAAAAACCTAATATTGGGCCGTGCCCACTGAATGTAACAGCCCCATATGGGCTTAACTTGATTCAATCAAATAAGAAGACATGACCTTCATATCGAAAGCCAAAACTAAATAGCACGAATTTTGTCAAGAAGACATGACCTTCAGTTTCTGCGACTCAAGTTCCACTCCTTTTGCTTATCTACTTACAGTCAAAACTAAATAGCACGAATTTTGTCAAGATATAACCTTCATATCGAAAGCCAAAAGTTCCATAAATTCACCCCCACCCGAATTTCACCAAATGAAAGAAGACATTCGAGAAAATATATAACATGTTTTAAAACAAAGTTCACACTCTACATATCAAATTAAATGCGAAAACATGCCCCGAACTACAAGTAGATTATACACATCAAATTCATAAGACTGGACTGATAAAGAGAAAAGGCATCGCATTATTATAAGAACAAGAATTCCCAGTGCCTAATAACAAAAAATGCTAAATTGAAACCAGAAATAAGAAAACCAACCACTTACCGGGGGTTGAGCAGTCCGCTAGGCCGCCTCGATGTTCCCAGTAAGCTGCGAGAGCTGCGAAAGCGCTGCCACGGCCGCTGCATTCAACCCACCATAGCCCGAGCTCGAATCCACCTGCTGCTTCTGATCCTCCGCAACCCCATGTGGGTAATACGCATTCTGCAAATGGGTCGGGTCAGGATCCGCCGTTTGTGGCTGTTGGGGCGGAAGTGGGACCCCGGGAGGATGAATCGAAATGGGTTCTTGATGGTATTAGTGGTGGTGGGCGGTGGCGTAATCCTGGGTGGTGGTGGTGGGATTGTAGTATTGTTGGTATTGTTGTTGGTGGTCGGATTGTTGGGGGTGATTGTAGGGATAATAGGCCTGGTAGGAATAGGATTGGTCGTAGGATTGGATTCTTGAGGGATCGAATGAACGGAGGAACTTAAATGTGATCTGACCTAAAAACTAATCAACGACATAGATTAAATCCAAAACAATCAACGGTTGAAATAATTCTCTTATAATTAAAAAATTATATATATATATATATTTTTTTTTTCGGTTCGGTATGGGAATACCGAAAAAATGAAATGCAATACCGAATCCCATACCGAAACTTTCGGTTTGGTTTGGGATTACGTCCCGAAAATTTCGGGAATTTTGGTTTGGGATCGGGATTTTTTTGGTTTGGTTTGGGATTTTTGGGATTTTTTTCCAGCCCTAGTGAAAGGTATCAATCTCTTCGTCTCGTCGAGTACTATAACTTTCATTTTTGTTTTACTCAATTTAATGGCGTATTGAAGAAGTTATACTCATTTGAATTTTACCCAGTTTCCGGCGACCTCCGAGGCTTTCGAGGAATTTTTCGGCCAAAAAACGGCGAGTTAGACGTCGTGTGAGGTACCATTCTCTTCGTCTCTTCAAGGAATACAACTTTTTTTTTTTGTCTCGCTTGATTTCGTTGAGTAGTAACAAAGTTATGACCGTTTAAAGTGGGGTGGTTTTCCGGCCGAATTTCCGGCCTTCTTCTTCCTTGGCAACAGGCCACCCGGCCTTTCCCTCTCCCTCGGGCCTTAGGCCCGTGTTGTCTTAAGCCTAAAACCCTAGCCCCTTTAGTTTTTAAGTTTTGTTTATTGGTTTTAAAACCCAAAAAGGGCTCGGGCCTTATATAAATGGCCTTGGACCGGTTTTGATTTAAAGGGGCTTAAAGCCCTGCCCTTGTGAGGCCTTAGGGCCTTGTGCTCGTGTGTGTGTGTGGGTATGCTTAGGCATGTGTGTGTGTGTGTTTATGCATGCACATGCATGCCGTGCATGTGTGTGTGTGCTTTTAGTGTGTGTGTTTGGGCTAAAGCCCAAACCCCAATTTTTCCATCCTAAACCCTTTTAACCCAAAAACCCTAGGTTTCTAAAATCTATTAGGGCCTAACCCATCCAACCCAATTCCCTTATTTTATTTAGTTCAAAACCCAATAGGTCCTAACCCTACTTAACCTAAACCTAAACCCTAATCCGGATTTCAAGCCTAAAATCCGTTTGACCTAATTTGATCGTTGACCCTCGGTCAACGTTGACTTTATGGTTGACTTTTCGGGTTTTCGTCCGGGACCCTTCTTAGGGTAATTCGACGTTCTGAATCCATTTCCAATGTCCATTTTCCCAAATTCAATTGCTATTATATAGTTTTAATTATTGTACTCTTTATGTGCTTAGGGGCAATTATTGTGACGTTTCCGTCTTTACTAGTGGCGCAGCTTTTGGCAACTAAGTATTGTGAGTGAACCCCTTCTAAAATTACATGATTTAATAGTAATTGCATAAATGATTAGCATGCCTACGAATTTTATGAATTGATTTATATCAATCCTGTTTACTCAATTTATTGATTTCGTCTCGTGTTTTGGTGAGGAAATAATTGTTAGCTTATATTGAGCTATATTTTAATATATATCATATTTTCTATAAAAACCATGAACTGGTAGACTATCTGATAGATGACGATAGGATGCTAGAACATGTTTTTGAACCCCTCTTTATAGTGTAGATGATGATCGGTAACCTATGCTATGAAGTGGTTATTTAAGAGAGACGTAACTATTTGTGCGTACCTAGTGGGCACTATGCCGCCTGGGGCGAGGATCTGGTGTTGGCAGGTAGGCCGGGAGAAATAATCCCTAGCGAAAGGCTGAGGGACACGGTGACAGACACTGGGCCGGGAGGGAGTTATCTCTGGCTACGGGCACAGAGATTGAGGTGCAGGCATTGGGCCGGGAGTTATATTTATTCAGTGATCTTTCTAGCAGCACACCGCGTTATACGAGACGATTTATGATACGTTTACTGTTTTGATTTCCGCGATGCGTTTCCGCGATATGGCTTTTGAGATATTTGGCATGCTAGGATTTTCATTAAATCCATCACTTATTATGCTAGTAGTTTTCATTATATATAAACTGTGGGGGTTAATATCTTGATAATTGTTTTATTATTATTATATATATGAACTTGGCCCACTCACCTTTGTTTTGCGCCCCCATTCAGGACTTAGAATCAAGGCACCTAATCCCGGCATGAAGACACTTCCGCAGTAGCATCTTCGGATCCTCTCGATGTAGGACCCACTTCCTTATTCATCCAATTTTATCTTAATCCTTTTTAGTGATTAGGTTAGTTGTATGCTCTGAGCACGTTCCTAAAATTATTAATTCTTCGTATTTTAAATTTCTAACCCTTATTTATTTCTTATACTTAGCTTTTGTATCAATTAATGGCTTTCGTCACCCTCGGGTGTCGGCCAGCACGTGTCTATCCTGGTATTCAGGGAATATCAGGGTCGGGGCGTGTCAAACGAGGCCATAGAGAGAGAAGTTGGAAAGGGTGAAAGATGAGAGAGAATTACAAGTGACCTTGTACCACAGTAATAGAGAGAAGCGTTGTTGTTGCTGTTGCACCACAAGGTGGGTTCAAACCCCATCAACTTCTTAATCTAACATTTATTTCCAATTGGGATCGACCAAAATTATTAATTTAACAAATATTAATTATCAATGTTCTACTGTATTTTACATTCCTTACCAACTCAGGATCTTCCAAACTCATTTTTTATTTAGCTTCAGAAAGTATCAAAGTCTAACGTCCAAACATTAAATGCCAATACACAACATTTAACCAGTCAAACAATTGGTATACATCCCCCACCAAATGCTCTGATACACACCCTAAATTCCATGCAAATCCTTTTGAAGAAGAAATTAGTTTTTGATGTTGGGCCACTTCTTACATGCAAGGCTTGTTTGAGATCCCTTTTTTTTAAGGTCTTTTATTTTTTTTTATTTTTTTTATTTTTTTAAGGATCTTCACCACCTAGTGCTCTGATACACATTACACACCCTAACTAAAACTTTCAAAATGAATGAAGAAGAATGTTATCTTTTATACAGGCCATATTTACTTTTTACTAAATTTAAATTGTATCTAGGAAAATTCAAACTTGAGTGCATAGAGAGAGCACATCCGCTCTAGCCAATGTGACTACACCAACTAACAATGACATCTACTTAATGTTTGTAGGTTCTTCACTATGGCTAGAATGATAAACAATGTTGAGTTGATTATTTCAAGCAATCGTCCATCATCATATGAAATTAACATCTGGATCTGCATGCTGTCATACTCACTAGCTGTACCAGTACTAGGACCACAATCAGCCCTAACATCCACA